GAGAAAAAATTTCCTTTCTCAAAAAATTTAGAATTTTCTTATTTTTTGTCCAAGTTCTTCAAATGTCAAAATTTTGTCAGAATATCTTCAGATCTCTTTGCTCCCTCTTTAAACCTTTTGAAAAATGTTTTTCTCTTTGAAAGAAAAGTGGAAAAACTTTAGTTAATGATAAAAAAAATTTTGTCTTTAAAAATTTTGAATTTTCCTTTTTTTTGGCTAATTTCATCGAATGTCAAAATTTTTTCTGAAAATCTTTAATTTTCTTTGCTCCCTCCTGAAACTTTTTGAAAAATGTTTGTCTCCTTGAATGGAAACTAGAAAAACTTTAGTGGATGGAGAAAAAAATTTCCTGCCTTTAAAAATTTGCAATTTTCCTATTTATTTTTGTCTAAGTTTCTTCGAACGTCAAAAATTTTTCCAAAAATCTTTGGATTTGTTTGATCCCTTCTCAAACCTTTTGAAAATCGTTTTTCTCCTTAAAGGAAAGTGGAAAAACTTTAGTTGATAATGAAAAAAATTTCCTGTCTTTAAAAATTTGCAATTTTCCTATTCTTTTTTTTGGCTAATTTCAATGAATGTCAACATTTTTTCAGAAAATCTTTAATTTTCTTTGCTCCCTCCTGAAACTTTTTGAAAAATGTTTTTCTCCTTGAATGAAAACTAGACAAACTTTAGTGGATAGAGAAAAAAATTTTCTGTCTTTAAAAATTTGCAATTTTCCTATTTATTTTTGTCTAAATCTATTTGAACGTCAAAAATTTTTCCAAAAATCTTTGGATTTGTTTGCTCCCTCCTAAAACCTATTGAAAAATGTTTTTCTCCTTGCAAGGAATCTAGGAAAACTTTAGTTGATAAAGAAAAAAATTTCCTGTCTTTAAAAACTTTGAATTTTCTATTTTTAGGGTTCCGTACACCATAGGTGTACTGACGGAACCCTTATGAAATCACTCGTGTGTCCGTCCCAGCTACGCAAAATGGGCTGTCCCCCCCCCCCTTAACTTTTACAAATCTCAACCTAGTGAGCTGAAATTCGGTAGGGATCTTCAGTTTTAAGTGCAGATTACAGGAAAAATATAGCGAACCCAATTGCCGGACATATTTGCGAACTAGGAGGGAAAGAAATTGAATTTTTCAGAAAAAATTACAAAAAATGACCCTGTCCCCCCTCCTTAATTTTTACAAATCTCAACCTGGTGAGCTGAAATTCGGTAAGGATTTTCAGTTTTAAGTGCAGATTACAGGAAAAATATAGCGAACCCAATTGACGGACATATTTGCGAACTAGGAGGGAAAGAAATTCAATTTTTTCGAAAAAATTGAAAAAATTACCCTGTCCCCCCCTTTAACTTTTACAAATCTTACCTTGATGAGCTGAAATTCGGTAGGGATCATCAGTTTTAAGTGCAGATTACAGGAAAAATATAGCGAACCTGATTGGTGGAGATATTTGGGAACTAGAAGGGAAAGAAATTGAATTTTTTTGAAAAAATTGCAAAAAATGACCCTGTCCCCCCCCTTAACTTCTACAAATCTCAACCTGGTGAGTTGAAATTCGGTAGGGATCTTCAGTTTTAAGTGTAGATTACAGGAAAAATATAGCGAACCCGATTGACAAACATATTTGCAAAATAGGATGGAAAGAAATTCAATTTTTTCGAAAAAAATGCTAAAAATGACCCTGTCCCCCCCCCCCCTTAACTTTTACAAATCTCAAAATTATGAGCTAAAATTCGGTAGGGATCTTAAGTTTCAAGTGTAGATTACAGGAAAAATATAGCGAACTCGATTGACGGACATATTTGCAAAATAGGAGGGAAAGAAATTCAATTTTTTCGAAAAAATTGCAAAAAATGACCCTGTCCCCCCCCCTTAACTTTTACAAATCTCAACATTATGAGCTAAAATTCGGTAGGGATCTTAAGTTTCAAGTGTAGATTACAGGAAAAATATAGCGAACTCGATTGACGGACATATTTGCGAACTAGGAGGGAAAGAAATTCAATTTTTTCGAAAAAATTGCAAAAAATGACCCTGTCCCCCCCCTTAACTTTTACAAATCTCAAAATTATGAGCTAAAATTCGGTAGGGATCTTAAGTTTCAAGTGTAGATTACAGGAAAAATATAGCGAACTCGATTGACGGACATATTTGCGAACTAGGAGGGAAAGAAATTCAATTTTTTCGAAAAAATTGCAAAAAATGCAAAAAATGACCCTGTCTCCCCTCTTAACTTTTACAAATCTCAACATTATGAGCTAAAATTCGGTAGGGATCTTTAGTTTAAAGTGTAGATTACAGGAAAAATATAGCGAACTTGATTGACGGACATATTTGCGAACGAGGAGGGAAAGAAATTCAATTTTTTCGAAAAATTTGCAAAAAATGACCCTGTCCCCCCCCCTTAACTTTTACAAATCTCAACATTATGAGCTAAAATTCGGTAGGGATCTACCGAAGTTTCAAGTGTAGATTACAGGAAAAATATAGCGAACCCGATTGACGGACATATTTGCGAACTAGGAGGGAAAGAAATTCAATTTTTTTGATAAAATTATAAAAAATGACCCTGTTCCTGCGGTTAACTTTTACAAATCTCAACCTAGTGAGCTGAAATTCGGTAGAGATCTTTAGTTTCAAATGCAGATTACAGGAAAAATATAGCGAACTCGATTGACGGACATATTTGCGAACTAGGAGGGAAAGAAATTTAATTTTTACGAAAAAATTGCACAAAATGACACTTTTCTCTCCCCCTTTTTAACTTTTAGGAATCTTAATCTATATGTAATAAAAATACATATGTGTACCGAATTTCAGCTCAATATGTTTATATATGTTAATATTAATGTGGATTATAGTTATAGTTTTTTTTTAATCTATATGTAATAAAAATACATATGTGTACCGAATTTCAGCTCAATAGGTTTATATATGTTAATATTAATCAATTATGTTTCTTATATATATTTTTTTTTATAAAAAATGAGTTTTATTTTGGTGTACGGAACCCTCGATCTTAATGCGAGTGCAACTCGCACTTGCCCGATTTTTTTTGGCTAATTTTATTGAATGTCAAAATTTTTTCAGAAAATGTTAGAATTTCCTTGCTCCCTCCCCAAACCTTTTGAGAAATGTTTTAATACTCGATACGAAGCTAGAAAAGCTTTAGTTGATCGAGAAAAAGTTTCCAGACTTTAAAAATTTGGAATTTTCTATTTTTTTTGGCTAAGTTCTTTGAATGTCAAAATTTTTTCAGAAAATTTTCGGATTTCTTTGCTCCCTCCCCAAACCTTTTGAGAAATCTTTTAATACTCGATACGAAGCTGGAAAAACTTAAGTTGATCGAGAAAAAAATTTCCTGACTTTAAAAATTTGGAATTTGCTATTTTTTTTGTCTAAGTTCATCGAATGTCAAAATTTTTTCAGAAAATTTTAGAATTTCTTTGCTCCCTCTCCAAACCTTTTAAGAAATCTTTTAATACTCGATACGAAGCTGGAAAAACTTTAGTTGATTAAGAAAAAAATTTCCTGACTTTAAAAATTTGGAATTTTCTATTTTTTTTGGCTAATTTCATCAAATGTCAAAACTTTTTCCAAAAATCTTTAGATTTGTTTGCTCCCTTCTTAAACCTTTTGAAAAATCTTTTTCTCCTTCAAAGGAAACTGGAAAAACTTTAGTTGATGATGAAAATAATTTCCTGTCTTTAAAAATTTGCAATTTTCCAATTTTTTTGGTATAAGTTTCTTCAAAGGTCAAAATTTTTTCCATAAGTTTTTGGATTTGTTTGCTCCCTGCTCAAACCTTTTGAAAAATCTTTTTCTCCTTGAAAGGAAACTGGAAAAACTTTAGTTGATGAAGAAAAAAATTTCCTGTCTCTAAAAATTTTGAATTTTCTTTTTTTTTTGGCCAATTTCATCGAATGTCAAAATTTTTTTCAAAAATCTTTGGATTTGTTTGCTCCCTGTTCAAACCTTTTGAAAAATCTTTTTCTCCTTGAAAGGAAAGTGGAAAAACTTTAGTTGATGAAGAAAAAAATTTCCTGTCTCTAAAAATTTTTGAATTTTCTTTTTTTTTGGCCAATTTCATCGAACGTCAAAATTTTTTCCAAAAAATCTTTGATATTGTTTGCTCCCTCCTCAAGCCTTTTTAAAAATGTTTTTCTCCCTGAAAGGAAACTGGAAAAACTTTAGTTGATGATGAAAAAAATTATCTGTCTTTAATAATTTTCAATTTTCCTTTTTTTTTGGTCTAAGTTTCTTCAAACGTGAAAATTTTTTCATAAAATCTCTGAATTTATTTGCTCCCTTATCAAACCTTTTGAGAAATGTTTTTTTCCTTGAAAGGAAACTGGAAAAACTTTAGTTGTACGAGAAAAAAATTTCCTGTCTTGATAAATTTGGAATTTTCGTAATTTTTTTTTGGTTAATTTTATCGAATGTCAAGATTTTTTCAGAAAATCTTTGGATTACTTTGCTCTCTCCTGAAACCTTCAAAAACGTCTTTTTATATTTGAAAAAAAACTAGAAAATCTTTAGATGATGAAAAAAAAATTCCTGTCTTTGAAAATTTGCAATTTTTTATGTATTTTTTTTGGCTGAGTGCATTGAACGTAAAAAATTTTTCTGAAAATATCTAAATTCATTAAACATAACTTTTTACAAAATGATGAATCTGTTGTTATGAAAGCGTCAAATATTTTTTTCTTTATGCAAAAATTATTGTAATTACTTTTTTCGTTTTTGCTGTCAATTGTATAGTATCTGTACATTTTCTGTTTTATAAAATCTGAATTTATTTCAATTTTTTTAGATTTTAAATATTATAGCAATGGAAATTAAATTAAAATTAAATTTTGCTGCAGCAGTAGTAGTAACGTAATATTTAATTGATATTCAATTAATTTTAATTAGACTCTAATTTTACTAAAAAACGGAACGGACGGACGGAACGGACGGAAATGTTTTAATATTTCACGTGGAAAAATAAAAGAATGTTTGCATATTACAGTGTATTATATATTATTATATAAAAATATAATATACATTTTTTTTAAAATTTTATATCCTGCAAATTAATTAATTAATTAATTAATTGACAATTCTTTTAATGATAGCAAGTCTTGAAGCAATTTAAAGTCAATTTCAATTGTTTCCTCGTCTCTGGTTGCCTTGAGGTTGATTCGACATCTTTTGGTGTCTCTGTCCACTTGCAGAAAGCTAAAAAAAATTGTTTTATTAGAAAAATTTTGGTTATTATTTTATTAATTTACTTAATTGTGTTCTATAATTTAATGAAAAGTTAATTTCCACACGCAAATCATTTTATGAACGTTAATTACTAATTGGAAATTTTAGTTTTAATTAAAAATAATTATTTATAACAATGACAATTTTAATTTTTTTATTTTAGAACAATAAAAAAAGCATTATTAACAAGAAAAATAAATGTAATGATGTAAAAATAATAAAAATTTAAATAGTGTAAATAATAATAATAATAATAAAAAATAATATTTGTAAAATATATGAATGTATAAGACGTTAAAATAAAAATGTACAATTAATACAATTATTTATTTACCACCATAAATAAAAAGAAAAATAATAAATAAATAAATAAATAAATAATGAAAAACGCTGTGTCTATTTAGCCCGCTAGCGGGATACAAGTAATCACGGTAAGTTATTTAGCCCGCTAGCGGGATAAGTAAGGATTTTAGGCTATTTATCCCGCTAATTTAAAAAAATAATAAATATAAAGTATTTACTTGCCTAGATACATGGTAAAAATTGTTAAGTATATTAAATATTAATTATTTCATTTTAGGAAATGATAGATAATAAATTAATAATAAATGTTATATTCGCACTGAGAAATCTGGAGTATTGGACTAAACATCTGGAGGGACAAAACGTTGATATTTGAGAGTTAGCTATTGGATAACAATCTAAATGTTCAAATACACCATTAACAGATATTCGTGCCATTTCTCTTGGAGGGAAAATGAGTTTATAACAGAGGGACAAATTAACCATCTTGAGAAATCCCTTCCTTATCCGGCGCGAAATGAATAAATATGGCAACCTAACCCCTAAATTAAATACATAAAATGTCAGAAAAATAATTTCGCGCGCATCAGATCGTACACATTTTCTGCGCAACTTTTAACCCTCAGATATAATGGGAGAGAATATACAAGTAGATTTCCATTATCAATTCAAAATTTATTTTAGAAGGACTATTTAACTCTCTTCATAAGCAAAGGAAACATACACTTTTTGAACCTCTGAATTTGACTCTCCAGTTTTCTCAGTGCAGTGACTGTACAAAGCACAAGTCAATAATAGAAGCGAATATTGAACAACTAGTACTCAGTCCAGTTCTTTCGAAAAATGAACGCCGTGCACATAAAGTAGATACACTCGACTCTCGGATCTTTTGCATTCAGTTCTTTTACACTCTCGAGTCTTTTGCAATTTTTCTCCCGCACCTTTTACCTTTTACATTAAATAAATTAATGACTATCAAAGTGTCAAAACATTTATTTCACGATAACTTTGGTTATTTAAAGTAAATTATAACAGTTTCTCCATTATGTGATTAAATAGTATATTAAGCAACAAGAGGATAAAGGCAGCCATTTCCTTACGGTGATTTTTGTGACACGAGTGGAAATCGAGGGCGCCCCGAGACCTCCACTCGTGTCACAAAAATCATCGTAAAGAAATTGGCTGCCTTTATCCTCGTGTTACTTACGATATTTTTTATTCCTAATGCACAAAAGCGGCGATTTCAGATAGCAGACGACAGAGAGTAAAAGTCATTCACTTGTTCGACTTGTATGAAAATGGCGGCCGTTTTCTCCCATGGGCAAGAAAAATGTATGTGAACAGCTAATTTTCTTGCCCTTGCGAGAACACGGCCGCCATTTTCATACGGTCGAAGAAATGAATGACTTTCCTCCCTGTCGTCTGCTATCAGAAAGCGCCATTTTTGTGCATGTGGGATAAAAATTATATTAAAATTTTAATTATTATTAATGTAAATAATATTAAAACTAAAACATAAATACTGTCATTAATTTACATATTTGGTTATACATATTTTATTGTCTTGCGTTACCATGGCATTTGTTTTGGTAAAATGTATGAGAGGATTTGGTCCCTTAAGTGCAAAAGATCCGAGAGTCGAGTGTACCTACTCGAAAACCACAAGTTATTCCCTCTCTCTCACACTAATTAATTAATTATACATGGAAAAATGTAAGGTGCACATGCTATACCTTTCAGAAAATTTATCCAACAATTAACTTCACTTCATATAAAAACAATAGGAAATAATAAGTGTGAAGTGAATTGAATAGTAAAATTTTTAGACAGGGATAACCAATGCACCAAAAGGTACAGATACTGTCCCAAACATTTTTCCGTGTATGGGTGATTCTACAAACAAAGGACGAAAATCAAGAAAATTTGGACACAACATTTTTTTCTCATTTAAGGTCTGAAAAGTATTTTAACTTCAAGTTAATGGTACTAATAAAAACATCCATAAGTGGCCAGACAAAATATTAAATTTTACAAAAGTTATGGTTATTTATAAACAATTTATCCAGAGAATTAAAATCGTGTCAAGAAAATTCACATTAACATAAAAATTAATTAATGGATTTTTATAAAATTGGTTACTCGGGGGTTTACGGGGTTGCTGATTAAGAATCCAATGTCAGTTTTTCAAAATTCAAAATGGCGGATCCAATATGGCGGACGACTTTTGAAGAAACTGATTGTATTCGTATAAAAATCGTAACCCGGGGGTTTTAGAGGTCGCTGATTAAGAATGTAATTAAATGAATTTTAAAAAAATTGTTCGATTTTTATTAAATTTTATTTTGTAAAATATATTTAAACGTTAAATAAGTTATTAATCTAGAGGAAAAGTTAGAACTAACAATTTACAAGTTACCACCATTTTCGCAACTTTTGAATCAGATTGTTCAAGATTATTTAAAATACGGAATACTTGATGCATACGGAAATTTCCGAGGACTGAAAAGAAATCGAGTACCCGAAAAAATCGAATACTAAATACTTTGAGTACACCTCTAGTTTTTAACGTTGAGTTTAATTTTGAATTTACTTTTTAATAATTTATTAATTTATTTTTATTTAATTTATTTAAGTAATTAATAATTAATAATAATAATAATAAATTGTAATTAATTAGTTAATTATGATTATTAAAAATTATTTAAAATTTATTTATTTATTTTTATACATGTATGAACATGTAATATAGTAATATAGTAATATAGTAATATAGTAATATAGTATGTAATATAGTAGTAGAACTAAAAAACATAATTAAATTGTTTAAACAAATTGTAAAAACAATGGTTAATTTGAAAAAAGTTGACCTCGGATTGGTAATAAGCGAAACAGAAAATCACCGAGTAACGATTTTCAGACGAATATGTTAAGTTTCTCCAAAATCGTCAGCCATATTGGATCCGCCATTTTGATTTGAAAAATTTTAAAAACTGACATTAGGTTCTTAATCAGCAACCCCGAAAACCCCCAAGTAACGATTTTTACAAGGATCAATAAAAGTCATCAGTTTAATTAATTTTGGTTGTAATTTAATTAATAATTGTTTATAACAAATTACGGATGGTCTATTTGTTTCTATAAGCACAATTTCACAAATCATAGAATTGTAAAAGTAAGTTTAAGTGTCTAATAATAAAGAACTGCTTTGATTTTAGTGGGCTAAACTTTATTCATATTTGTTTGTTTATGTCAATGGGGCCGTACACATAATACGTCACGCGATTTTTGACTATTTTTAACCCCTCCCTCCCTCTATGTCACACTTCGTCACAAACCTTGAACCCCCTCCCTCCCCCTACAACGTCACGTCACACACGTAAATTTCACTATAAATTTTATACATTGGACATTATATATTATATCCTACTCTCTAAATTATTGAATCAGTTAAAAATAACTGATTTAGAAGCAAAAAGTCAGTCACTAATTCAAATAGTAATATTTTTTTTCTGACAATTTGTTAAAAATAACTGATGCTTCAATACATTTTTTTTATTGATTCAATTAGTCACGTTTAATTACATAGCACCGAAACTTTCCAAAAAATTTATTAAAGATTTACTCGTAAGCTTTGAAATATTTAAATGCAAAGTTTAGTGAAAATTGTATAAAGGTTTAAATATTCCACTTCAATAAATGTTTAGCGCGAAACTTTCTTAAAAATTTAACTTAAATTTTCAGGAAAATTTTCACGAAAGTATAGTCGAAAATGTAATTCAAATGTTCAGGAAAGCTTCAAGCTACATTTTTAAGAAAATTTGATGATAAACATTTATTGGAGTGAGAAATTTAAATCTTTACACAATCTTAACTATACTTTGCAAGTAAATGTTTCTAAGTATGCAAGCAAATCTTTAATATACATATTTAAAAAAGTTTCGGTGTTTTGTGGATAATTTTTCAGTTATTTTTAACTGATTCAGAAGCAAAAAGTCAGTCACTGCTGATTGTCAGATAATACCATGAATTTTAACTGATTCAATTTAAGAGAATATATTATTTATCATATTATAAATAATATACCAATAGATGTTAAACAGGTTCATAATAGATATTAAATAGTTTAAAGCATTTTTAACATATTTTATTTAGAAAAAGTGACATTGTCACATATAATTTCTTATAATCTTTGAATTTAAAAGATTGTGACGTAACACATGAGTTCACCCCCCCTCCCCCATGTCACACTAAGTCACAATTCTCAGACCCCCTCCCTCCCCCTAGCTGCGTGACGTATTATGTGTACGGACCCAATATAATTATTTATGCGAAATGAAAATTGAAAATTCAGTTATAGCAATTTCTTGCAAATTTAATTAGGATTATTTTAAGACCAGAAAATCGAACAATAGTTGAAAATTGTTAGTTTTACGCTATTTTTAGTGATATAGTATACATCCTATCTCAAAAGTGCCAGACGAATGAGAACCAGACGAATGAGAATTTGGCATTTTTTGTTTAAAAAAATAGAAAAATAACATTAAATGAAAAAATCCTTCAGTACTATCTTATAGAGAATAATAATCTACAAAACATAAGTCTATACACTGAGAAAACTGGAGTATTGGACTAAACATCTGGAGGGACAAATCGTTGATATTTGAGAGTTAGCTATATTGGATAACAATCTAAATGTTCAAATACACCATTGACAGATATTCGTGCCATTTCTCTTGGAGGGAAAATGAGTTTATAACAGAGGGACAAATTAACCATCTTGAGAAATCCCTTCCTTATCCGGCGCGAAATGAATAAATATGTCAACCTAACCCCTAAATTAAATACATAAAATGTCAGAAAAATAATTTCGCGCGCATCAGATCGTACACATTTTCTGCGCAACTTTTAACCCTCAGATATAATGGGAGAGAATATACAAGTAGATTTCCATTATCAATTCAGAATTTATTTTAGAAGGACTATTTAACTCTCTTCATAAGCAAAGGAAACATACACTTTTTGAACCTCTGAATTTGACACTCCAGTTTTCTCAGTGTTCTATTATTAAATATTATATTATATTTATTTAGATATAAAATCTATCAAAGTATTTATAACATTTTATAAAAATGCAACTTATGAAAATTTAAATATATATTAATTTCTCAAAAGAATTTTATTATTTACAAAAATAATTGAATTTTGCCAAAAATTTTACAATTTATAGTAATAATTGAATTTTTTCGAAGACTTTTATATCAGAATAATTGTTGAAATTTATTGAATTTAAATAATATTTTTAAAAATAATTGTATTCTTTCAAGAAATTAATTATTAAAATTATATTGGAAATAATTATTCCTTTGAAGGGTTTCAGTATTCAAAACTTTTGAAAAAGTTTTAAAAATCTCCTATTTAAAAAAATCATTATTTAATAAAATTCCTACAAAAATTCAGATCAAATTCTTCGAAACAATTCAATTATTTTTATAAAAAATAAGAAAATTCTTTGCAAGAATTAAAATATTTTTTGAATACTGAAACCCTTCAAAGGAATAATTATTTCCAATATAATTTTAATAATTAATTCCTTGAAAGAATACAATTATTTTTAAAAATATTATTTAAATTCAATAATTTTCAACAATTATTCTGATATAAAAGTCTTCGAAAAAATTCAATTATTATTATAAATTGTAAAATTTTTGGCAAAATTCAATTATTTTTGTAAATAATAAAATTCTTTTGAGAAATTAATATATATTTAAATTTTCATAAGTTGCATTTTTATAAAATGTTATAAATACTTTGATAGATTTTATATCTAAATAAATATAATATAATATTTAATAATAGAACACTGAGAAAACTGGAGTGTCAAATTCAGAGGTTCAAAAAGTGTATGTTTCCTTTGCTTATGAAGAGAGTTAAATAGTCCTTCTAAAATAAATTCTGAATTGATAATGGAAATCTACTTATATTTTCTCTCATTATATCTGAGGGTTAAAAGTTGCGCAGAAAATGTGTACGATCTGATGCGCGCGAAATTATTTTCCTGACATTTTATCATACACTGTAAAAAAATCTGCTGTAAATTTACTATGTCCGACGTTGGAAAGTTTGGTCACTATGTCCGACGTGGTATTTTTACACGCCGACTGTAATCTACATAACCTGCAAATATTTTTTGAAATAATATTTTCAGTCGTAACTTTTTGTATTTATGAAATATAGCCCAAAACTTTTTGTTATATTATTATTTACTTATAAATTAGCATATACTTTCTATAAATGTACATTATATACACTTTTTTAGAGTTATTTATAAAAACTTGAAAATTTTTTGAAAATCTTAAAGGAATAAGAAAATTACATTCGCCATGTAATTGTACAGATCGTGCGACGTAATATTACGTCAAAGTGTAGAAATACACGCAATGTAAAAATACCACGTCGGACATAGTGATCAAATTTTCCTACGTCGGACGTAGTAAATTTACACAAAACTATTAAATTACATAGTCGTATAATGTAAAATTATTAAAAATAGTAAAACTACTTTTGGAACGAAATAAATTTACTACGTACAACCTATAATTTTGATGTGTGAAATTACAAGTTTCGTGTTATTTTACACCAGATTTTTTTACAGTGTATGCATTTTATGTATTTAATTTAGGGGTTAGGTTGCCATATTTATTCATTTCGCGCCGGATAAGGAAGGGATTTCTCAAGATGGTTAATTTGTCCCCAAGAAGACTATATACAGGAGAACCAACTCGCCTGCTTGTTCATAGAGAGCAGTGGTCCCGTTTTTAACGGACGACTGGGCGTACTACCCCGAGGCGCACTAGTCTTCTGCACATCGCAACACATGCATAACTGTATAAACTCTATCTGTGTATCTTTAAATAATGTGTGTTTGTTTTGTTTACAATTTTCTTGGTTATGTGCAAGTTCTGTGACAGTTGATTTTGAAAACACTAAATGAAATGCCATAAAAGAGTTTGTATCTTCTGAAATATTTTTGCTTGATTTCATCTTTATTAGTTTTTATAATTTATAAATCTCTTTTAAAATCTTTGAAATATCGTAGAGCGTTAAATCCGAAAACTTAGTTCAGTTGGAAAAATTCCTCTTTGGAGGTTATGGTTAACCTCAAATACAATGCTATAACAGAAATAAATATAATTGCAGCAATAATAAATATATAATAAATTATATATTACAATAGGATAGATAATAATTTATAATATAACATGCCCTTTTTTTTATTGTAAGATAAAAAATGGTTATGAAAATCCCATTACAACTTTTATTATTTAAATTAACACTCTTCATCAATACGAATCATAATTAAAAACACTAGTGTTAAATACACTTCTCACTTTTATTAGAAATTTCTGTATTAAAAATATTAAGTTCACTTAATATTTACACTTATTATTCAATATGAGGGGATAATAAAAACTTGCAGCTGTTACAGCTGTCAGATGGAATATATATAAAATATACACAGTTATGCATGTGTTGAGATGTGCAGAAGACTAGTGCGCCTCGGGGTAGTACACCCAATCGTCCGTTAAAATCGGGACCATCGGAAATACTCGAGTTGTTCCTCCTGTATATAGTCTTCTTGTTTGTCCCTCTGTTATAAACTCATTTTACCTCCAAGAGAAATGGCACGAATATCTGTCAATGGTGTATTTGAACATTTAAGGCGCTTGCACACTTCCAAATTTTTAGGCGAGCAGCGAATTTTCACGGCCTTGAAATGCACATTACTAAATATGATTGGCTCTGACAAAGTACATTTTCACGCAGCTTTTTGTAGAGCCAATCATATTTAGTAATATGAGTTTCAAGGCCATGAAAATTCGCTGCTCGCCCAAAATTTTGGAAGTGTGCAAGCGCTTTTAGATTGTTATCCAATAGTTAACTCTCAAATATCAACGATTTGTCCCTCCAGATGTTTAGTCCAATACTCCAGATTTCTCAGTGCGAATATAACATTTATTATTAATTTATTATCTATCATTTCCTAAAATGAAATAATTAATATTTAATATACTTAACAATTTTTACCATGTATCTAGGCAAGTAAATACTTTATATTTATTATTTTTTTAAATTAGCGGGATAAATAGCCTAAAATCCTTACTTATCCCGCTAGCGGGCTAAATAACCTACCGTGATTACTTGTATCCCGCTAGCGGGATAAATAATTTACTGTCACTATTCATCCCGCTAGCGGGCTAAATAGACACAGCGAATAAAAAAAGACAAATAAAAAGATATGCTTTGTACATTTTTTAATGAATTATTTTTCCCTTGCTTAAAAAATGTTATATGCGATTTAACTTTTGTACCCTTTCAATTGAATATTAATTTTTTTATTGATTCATTTTACAATTAATTTTTATTTATAATTATTATTAAATATAAATTATTAGTAAACAAAAATAATTATAGAAAATAAAATTGAAACTAACCTCAAAATTGGTATCCATTATTATTCTCATTTTTTTTCATTAGAGAACTGTTGACACTTATCCATATAATTAACTAACACAGGCAATAACTTCGTCACTTCTAATTAATTAATTAATTAATTTTAATTAATTATTAATTAATTACTTTTTTAATTAACACTCAACACATATTATTCTCTGCATTCTCCAAAGTCCAAATATTTACGAATCTACGCCTATGTAAATTTCACAAATACGCAAACTGTTACGTGCGGAGTTACGTTATTTACGCGCAGGCGTAAGATCCGCGATTTCATTCTGTTACGAGCCGCGTTACCTTTAATAACGTAACTCTAATAGTTCGCGATGATTCGCCGGATTCTACCTTGATTAAATCCTAAGGGTGGAGTCCCATGGCACCGTTTTGCGTTGCGTTTTGTAACTAGGCCATGAGTATGAGAGAGATGAAGATATAGGTTCGCTATATTTGCACTCATTGCCTAGTTACAAAACGCAACGCAAAACGCTACCATGGGACTCTAGCCTTAAAGAAGGAAGCGGGAATATTTAAATTAAAAGACGTTTAATTCCGTTTAACGGAAGGAGGAAAGCCCACTCGAGAAATTAGTTTTTCTTGAGTGAGTAAAACCCCCTTTATTGTTTATTAAAATATTTGTTAAATACAAACTGGCTAAGGAGTTTAGAAAACAACCTTTCAAGTCAGAGAGTAACTTAGAACTAACTATAACTATTCATTCCGCGGAGAGGTTCTCCGCTAAAGTCCATTTTTGTGGAAATGCGCATGCGTTATTCTACGCGCATTTCCTTGGCTGTACACTGTAAAAAAATCTGCTGTAAATTTACTATGTCCGACGTTGGAAAGTTTGGTCACTATGTCCGACGTGGTATTTTTACACGCCGACTGTAATCTACATAACCTGCAAATATTTTTTGAAATAATATTTTCAGTCGTAACTTTTTGTATTTATGAAATATAGCCCAAAACTTTTTGTTATATTATTATTTACTTATAAATTAGCATATACTTTCTATAAATGTACATTATATACACTTTTTTAGAGTTATTTATAAAAACTTGAAAATTTTTTGAAAATCTTAAAGGAATAAGGGTGAAGTCCCATTGAACCGTTTTGCGTTGCGTTTTGCAACTAGGCCATGAGTGCAAATATAGCCAACATATATCTGTATCTCTCTCACACTCATGGCCTAGTTACAAAACGCAACGCAAAACGCTATCATGGGACTCCAGCCTAAGAAAATTACATTCGCCATGTAATTGTACAGATCGTGCGACGTAATATTACGTCAAAGTGTAGAAATACACGCAATGTAAAAATACCACGTCGGACATAGTGATCAAATTTTCCTACGTCGGACGTAGTAAATTTACACAAAACTATTAAATTACATAGTCGTATAATGTAAAATTATTAAAAATAGTAAAACTACTTTTGGAACGAAATAAATTTACTACGTACAACCTATAATTTTGATGTGTGAAATTACAAGTTTCGTGTTATTTTACACCAGATTTTTTTACAGTGTAGCATACAGCATCGTTGCACCAACACTTTTCTGCACTACATTGAAACTATACTCACACACACATTCAAGAGAGATCATCTCTATACTCATGCAATATACTCTACATTCAAATAATATAATATTATTAATCATCTATAAAATGTTATGTACTATTTACTTAAATTGAATATTTCATACGACACTCAAACAATATAGTAATTACATTAATAATATACATATAGATGAAATGTATTTAATTACATAAACGTCAACGTAGTTTTAGATTATCCAAATAATACATTCGCACTAAATGATTATTCGAAATAATAATAATAATAATTATTATTATTATTATCATTATTATTATATTAACAATTCTATTTGTACTATTTATTATTAAATATTTTAGATCCTTATTCAACTAGACTTTTGTGACTCATCTCTTTTACTTAGTCCATTGCAATCCTGCGGTCCCAAGCATGTTGAACACATGTTCTATTGTCCTATGGAAAAGGGCACTTGAGATGTTTTATTTTTTGTATAACTCTTGACGGTTTGGTTTTATGACTTTAAGAAATTCGAGATTACTTTTTCCAACTTTTACTTGATTTACGACATTTCTAAGAAATGTCTTCGTAGTTAATATAAAAACTAAAAGTTTGGAATTTATTAAACCGTGACAATATTCTATTGACAAACATACAAAAGATTTCCTGTTTGTGTCTCAGAGATTTCTGCCTCAAACCGTGGGAAGAATATTTAAAAATTATAAATTAATTGATAATTAATAATTCAATTCTAGCGCGTTTATTTCGATAGTTGATATATCGAAATTATTCGAGCGAGATAATAGTCGCTCGTTACAATTCGATGTTCAATCTTGGTTTAATCCTTTGAAAAGGAAGGCGGAAATATTCAAATAAAACAAGCTGATTTCCGTTAAAACGGAGGGAAAAACCTCACGAATAAGAAGGATCAATTAATAATTAATAATATTAATTAATCATTAATCCAACTAAATTCGCGCAGAATCTTTGCGCATGCCCTGTTATAGAGTTTGTAAAGTCTATGGAGTGTTCAGAATCACAACACTAACACTGTATTGCACTAATACACTTATAAACATACTCTATGTATTAAAAACATGTATCACAACAAGTGAACATAACCCTTTTGCATTCACACTAATTACATAATTATTAATTATTTACATCATATCTAGTAACAATAAATCTCATATACTGCACTCATCATATTCAAATATAGACAATAATTATAACGATAACTAATTTGATAATATATCATAATATAATATTATAATTATATTAATACGTTACTAATATACACATATATACATACATACATATATACATCCAATACCATAATATTACAACAATAAATTAGATAAAGTTTACTAATAATATTATTTCCATATAATACATTCATACTGTACAATTAATAACAATATAATATTGTTGTTAATTGTTCATAACGTTCATATTATACAAGGTTCTGTGGTCACAAGTATGGTAAACACATGTTGCATTGTCCTATGGAAAAGGACACTTGAGATATTTTTTATATTCTTTCGAGGGTTTCTCGGTTTTATGACTCTAAAGAAACTAGAGATTACATTTTCTTTCGCTATTCTACTTGATTTATGGCAATTCTAAGAAATGTTGATTTTCAAATACATATTCAGAATTTGGAAACTATTAAACCGTAAAGTATTATATTTTTTATCCCACATGCACAAAAACGGCGCTTTCTGATAGCAGCCGACAGGGAGGAAAGACATTCATTTCTTCGACCGTATGAAAATGGCGGCCGTGTTCTCCCAAGGGCAAGAAAATTAGCTGTTCACATGCATTTTTCTTGCCCAAGGGAGAAATCGGCCGCCATTTTCATACAAATCGAACAAGTGAATGACTTTTACTCCCTGTCGTCTGCTATCTGAAATCGCCGCTTTTGTGCATTAGGAATAAAAAATATCGTAAGTAACACGAGAATAAAGGCAGCCAATTTCTTTACAATGATTTTTGTGACACTCGTTCCGGTCTCGGGGCGCCTACGGCGCCCTCGACCTCCACTCGTGTCACAAAAATCACCGTAAAAAAATGGCTGCCTTTCTCCTCTTGTTGCTTAATATACTATTACAATAGTCAAACTTTCTTGTTTAGTCTCGTCAATATTTGTCTAAAGTCGTGAGAAAATACTAAAAATAATTAAGTTTATTAACGAAATATTATAATTTCGCGCTTCGATAACTCGTGAATCGATATATCGAAAGTTAACGAGCGAGATGGTAGTCGCTCGTAACAAAACTGAAACAATATCGGCATCTCGCGGACTTCTCAGAACTAAAATTTTATCATTTTTACAGATTTCTCTAACATCATCGAAAACAGCACTCACTATAACATATTGGGTCAAACGCCGCTTGGGGAAATTCGCACTTGGGGAATTTTGATAGTTACCGCCCAAATCTTTTTGGGCATATTGTTACGAGCGGTACTATGGGTACTGTGCAAATTCACTCGTATTTGATTCGCGGATTCATTCTTAGTAATATCCCTGAAAAGGGACCGGGAAATTTCAAATAAATACACGGAAAAAATAAGTTCAGCAGATTTTACGAAACTAATTTCGCACTAGCGGATATTTAAGATTCCTTGACGAAGTTTTTCAAAAACCCAGAAACTTTCACTACTTTAAGCAGAACAATTTTCGAGAAACTGCAACCAGTGTTGTAATTTATAAAACAAGCTTGAATGTAGAAATGTTTTGTATTTTCTGGTGAACATTTTATCAGAAAATGGTAAAAATGTTTCGTGCAATCTAAAAACGCGTGGTTTGAGTTTTCACTTCGCTGTCTATCGTGAATTCTCGAACACAGAGTTTCGTAA